GCGGAGGAGAAGCGAAGGCGGCAGAGAGTGGCGCCGGAAGGATGTTTCACTGTGTACGTCGGGACGGAGAGGGAGAGATTTGTGGTGAAAACAGATGGGGTTTTTAGATTTCTTGGACTTGGCCAACATTGAAGATCTTTAGCTGCTTCTTATAATTTTTCTTCCTCCAATTTCTTGATCTTCGAATTTGATGAGGTTTTTGGGTTTCTTTTTCTTTTTGGAAGCCGATTGGTTGAAGAGGGAATTGAGGAAATTGGCTAATCAATCGGAATTGTTGCGACAGTAGAATGATTTTTTGAAGATCTTATCTGGGTGGTCGGAGAGGTGGCTCGCGATGGACTTGGGCGAAGAATTTGTAAGGGAAAAAAGGAAGGGAATCTTATCTAGGTTGTCGAAGAATTTATGGGTTTAGATTTGAGTTTCATGTAAAAGAAGGAAAAAAACCCTAAGATCAAAGGTGAAGGGGGGAAGAAGGGAGAGATGCAACGGATTAAAAAAAAGAAATCGAAATCATTTCGGGTCGGTTTTGAACCAAACTTATTCGGTTCGGGTCGATTGTTCTCGAAAACCGACCCGACCTGAACCGATTACAGCCCTAATTTTAACAATGTATGATCATTTCCTAACTTTTGGGTGGCGCACCCTCAAGTCATTCTTTGGTAAGACAAAGCTATGACACTAGAGACTTTGTGAATGGATATAGATATTTAAATGTCTATTCTAATATTGGGTTGAGAAGAATCTAGGAAGCAAAAGTTCATACTTTTTTAGTGGAAACATAGGAATGAGATCGAACTCACAATTTAACTGGAGATAGGTATCTTAAACAATTGATCTATATATTTAGTGCATAAGTTCATAGTTGAATCTCCTATTATTATCCGTCAAATAGAGAAATCTTAGAAGCTTTTCAAGTGTGTTTGGTGGAATCATATATCTCTCACCCAAACAAAGTTGCTTCTCCTCCTGCAAGGTAACATCGCTCTATGGATTCAGGTTAGATTGCTCTCTCTATTCTTCATCAAATTATATCAACTCAATAGTCACAATTTTGAAGTGATGTACATGAGTTTCTAAGATTTTACTCTTCTTAAAGTTGAAAAGTTGTCTGTTTGTTTACCTAATAGTGAAGCGAAGCAGTTTCCCCAAAGGCTTCGTTTTTGGCACAGCATCTTCTGCTTACCAGGTTAAGTATAGTTTTTTTTTTCTTTTTTTTCTTTTTCAAGTGTCAAATTCAAATAAATTTAAGGGATGAATGAGAGTTTGCGACTTTTTTAGTTGGATTGTGTTTTGTTTAGTATGAAGGTGGTGCTTTTAAGGATGGAAAAGGGCCAAGTATTTGGGATACCTACGCCCATCGACACCCAGGTCAAAATAAAAAAGTTATATATCTTGATATTATCATCGATATAATGAATTAATTATAAATGAGAATAACGAAAAAGTAATTTCTTAGTGTTGTTTTGTGAACTAATTGCAGAGAGAATTGTTGATCACAACACTGGAGATGTAGCCGTTGATTCATACCATCGCTACAAGGTCTGTAAAACATAAGTGAATATGAAATGAGGGGTTATTTCGTTTATAGATTATATTTAAAAAATAAGTCTTAACTATACAAACAAACTCATTAGTTGTACGAGTAACCTACAGTTTACTTTGCTTTATAATGCTCACTTAATATATTAGGTGAACAACGATGGATCGGTGTTGGTCAATTTTTGGTTAACATGGGAGGGAGAGAGTGGCTTTAAAGGATTGAGATAAGAGAGGTAGAAGAGGCGAAAGGAAGAGAGAAATGGAGGGAGAATGAGAAAATCGCGTCGAGTCAAAAGGATTGAGAAGAGGGAAAAGAAAGAGAGAAATGGAGGAAGAAACGAGGGAGAGGGAGGGAGACAATGGGAATAATATTGTCTGAAAAATTAGAGAGGGCAAAAGGGGAGGGAAAGAAGAGAGACAAAGAAGAAAGAATGAAAATACTTCACTCTTCACCGGTGACACCTACTTTTATTTTGAATATCATTATTGAAAAATTGATCATTTATTATTTTAAAAAAATTTCCGTTTTTGTATTTGTCTCTCAGTTGTCAAACAGTCAATGGTGAGATATGGAGCAGATAGATTCCGATGGTTAAGAAGCCAAATATCCAAAAATAGATTGGTATTCATGTAATCTTTAAACAAATAACTTAGGGAGAATTTAGTTGAACATATGTAGATGTTGGCATATGTGGAGAGAACAAAACTAGATTTGATTCATTTTGGTTTTTGTAAACTTTCAAAATCTCTATTTTAAGTATACTCTCCACTTTTGTTTATCTTAATCCATATACTTTAAAATCGTCGGTTCGGGTTCTTTTCTTTTAAAAATTGATCATTTGCAAAATTTTAATACAAATTTTGTACCCAATCTAAATTGGCCCTCAATACAAAGTGTTGTGTCAAGTTTGTGATAAAAAGGGAAAATAAAATGACCAAACAGTTACTTTTCGAAGGTACAAAGATCAAAACAATGTAAAAGCTAAAATTAAAGACACAGAAAATGTTATTTCGCTCAAGGATACAGTGCAGGAAGATAAATTATTATTCTATTTTTTCTTTTTTTTTTTTAATGATAAAATATTTTGCAAACTTTTGATTAATTCTTCATAACATAGGAAGATGTTGCCATTATGAAGCAAATGGGGTTTGATGCTTACAGATTCTCAATCGCTTGGTCCAGACTTTTACCAAGTAAGGAATTAGAGAGTGAAATTACATATTTAGAGACTAAATTTAAAAGAAAAGAAAAATTTAATCTTTAATGTTTGAAAAATTTTAAAATCTTGTTTCCTATTATTTATAAAGTTTCAATCTTTATATTTTAATATTTTCCAATTTAGTTCTTTCACGTGGGAGAATGTTAAAATTGCTTGATGATAAATTTATAAGACATATACTACTCAGTAAATTGGTGAAAGTTTTAAGGAAAAAAAATGCCATAAAAGAAGAAAACTCAAAAGTTTTATTAATTTCTTACCATTTTAGAGAGTAATTAAAATCTTTTCTTTTTTAACTACATTTTCCTCCTTTAAATATTATAAATTTACTAAATATTATAAATTTACTAAATATTATGTCATATAATTAAATTTATCATCGATTAATAGACTCAATTAAAAATGTTAAAGTCAAAACGAGCTTAGCTCGGTAATTGAAATATATCTAAAAAAAAATTAAAAAATTGAAAATGTTAAAATAGAAGGATTAATTAGATTGAAAATTTTTAAATAATAAACACTAAATTTAAGCTCACTTTTAAATCATTAATGCAGAGGGAAAGCTTAGTGGGGGTGTGAATTGGAAGGGAATTGAGTACTACAACAACCTTATCAATGAGTTGCTTGCAAATGGTGGGGTATTATTTCAATATTTAATTGCTGTCATTAATTATATTGGTATTTTGAAACCATTTTAATTATGTAACAAATTAAATCATGTGGCTGTGATTTGATCAACAGAAATCCAACCCTATATTACACTTTTCCATTGGGATCTTCCCCAAGCTTTACAAGATGAATATCAAGGCTTCATGGGCCATCAAATTGTGTAAGGCTAGCAAAGTTTCATGAGATTTTCATATAAAAATAATATCAACTATTTATTTGCTATCTAACAGAAAAATGATGTGACAAGGGGACGTGTTAACTAATTTTAAAATTAATAATCATAATAGTTAATAACATGCTTACTCTTTATTTATCTCTAGATTTATTTTGGTCTTTAGACTTTTTTGATTTATTTTAAATAATTGTGATTAATTGCAGAAATGATTTTCGAGACTATGTAGAACTTTGCTTTAAGGAATTTGGTGATAGATTCAAGCATTGGATAACCTTGAATGAACCATACATTTTTATCATCAAAGGTTACGTGATGAGAGAATATGCACCATGTACATGTTCTTCTTCGTCGCAATCATATAATTGCCTTGGTGGAGACTGTGGCATCGAACCGTACATTGTTGGTCACAATCAAATTCTTGCACACGCTGCTGCTGTCAAAATCTACAAGGCCGGATATCAGGTTCTTTTTCCCAATAGCAACAACGTATTATCTTTGCTTGGTTGTCGACCTATAAAATTTTAAGAAGCAATTAAAAAACGACAAAATAAAATAGGGTTAGTAAAGATATAGCAACACATTTACAATGGTAAAACCTAAAGTTTCAAAGAATCTAACATAAGTGCCTCCACACTCTTATGTTGAAGGTTTCCCCTTCACCCATTTAAATATGTGTAGATCGAACATCATCTTTGTGTTAGTATAGCCTTCGACCAATATAAGATTCGTCTTTATCACTCGTCTTTGTTCTCCGATTGATGAACCTAACTAGCAAAACTAAAATTGAACAAAATTGAACCCTTTTGTACTTTGATTACAAAATACAGTTAATACTTTATAACATTTGCTAGCAAAATCAATTTATGTACGAGAAATAGATATTTATTTAAAGTCATGTATAAAAAATTAATATGTATATAATCCATATAAATATTATACAACAAGCATTAAAAAAAAGCTTTTTTATTACTATACTTATTAATATATGCTTTATTTATATAATATATTTATAAATTATTATTATTATTATTATTATTTTTTTTTTTTTTTTT